TCACTTTGAGACGTCGTCCCGACACGAAAGGCGCTATATAAATATAAATTGCATTGTAATAACTTTCATTCAGAGTGCATCAAGTAGGCCTGGAGAAGGATAGTTTTTTTGTGTGTGTGTCGTAACATGTATGTTTTTTTGTGTGTGTGAACTCTCTTACTGGAGGAACGCACGCTGATTACTTAATTCCATAGAATTTAGGTGCAGGTTAACAAGAACTAAGGCTGGTGCAGTGGGGTAATGCCAGAGTTGAACCAAGTAAAATTACATAATCTACCATTGCAGTTCACTGGCAAGCTTCTCCATTGATTGCTCATACCACCAAACATGTTAAGGCAAATGGAAGTATTATACAGATCCAGTAGTTGGTTCCCTTAAGACGCAAGAATCTGGTAACCTGGTAATATTAGAGATTAAAATAAACATATTAACCCTTTGAAAACTAGACTAGTCTATGAAGGGTAACTAGTTATGAACCGATGTCAAGATGCATTGATGACATAGTGTTGATAGATCTTTGCCCAACAGAACTGGAGTTGCTTGATCCTGAAAATGCAGCAAAATTACTGTTTTGACCTTGATAAACATGCATGCACACAAACCTAAGGGAAAGTAACAGCATTGCTTTTTGAGGTGAAAGTTTTAATGCCAGTTCACACAAGGTATTTCTGTTTTGCCTTTTAGATCTTGGGCCACTGAATTAATTTAAGACGTATTTTCTTGGTTAATTGCTTCATGATGTAATTGTGACAATCCTGCTAACTACTCAGTTTTACTTAAAGAACATAATTTTTTTATGCGATACACGTAGCTGTGTAAAAACTGAATTTGAAGCATTACTAAGTTTGAATAATCACAAAAGCTTCTCAAGTGCTTGGGAACATTCACAGATCCTTCCTCTAATTACTTTGCTCCAGGGTTTATGTGGCTTTACTTTTTGCTAATTTCTGCCTCACTCCTACATTAGTTTTCACAAAACTCCATAAAAAGGTGTTTCGCTCTGACGTGTGTGGAACATTGTGTCTAAGTTTATTAGGTCAATGCTGCATTGGTTAACTCCTTCCAAAAGAACTGGATAGGAATCTGCTTGAGAACTGGACTGGATAATGTTGAGACAAGTATATAAAAACAATACAATACAATTTACATTTATCTAGCGCCTTTCATGACAGGAGGACATTTCAAAATACCTGTTGGCTGGGCATCCAAGCTTGGTATGGGAGCTGAATAGGATGGGAAGGGGAAAGATGACCAAAAGCTTGGTGAAGTCTTCAAATGGTCCTTGAACAAGTGGAGGGAAGGAGGGACTTAAGTATGGAGTTTCAGAAACTGGGGGCAGATTTTATCCTACGTGAAAGACATTCTGTAAGTGTAATAAACTGCACTTACATAGCACCTCTCACATAGGATAATTCTCAAAATAATCACAGGAACAAAGTGAAACCCCAAACAAGGTGGGAATAGGAGGTTGAAGGGAAGGCATAGTTGAAGAGGTAAGATTTTCAAGACAGGAAAGATGGATTTGAGATGGGTGGGGTAGAGTTACAGAGAGCAGGGGACTGAGATGAACAAATACTCCCTGGTCACAATGATTTGTTTGCAGTTAAAGCTGGCGGAAAGGTTGACTGTGAATTGAAGGAGGAGAGATATGGAGATATGGAATGGAGATATTTTGTTTCATTGACTTAGGGTCCAATAGATGTCATAATACAGCATTTCACATCCTCCCGACGTGAAAGGCGCTATACAAATGTAATTTTGTATTGAATATGGAGTTTACCCCCAGGAGGTCGAATGGTTCGTGAAGTTTATGATAACTTAAGGTTTAAATGGACCTTGGAGGAAGCAAATGTTAAATGACCTCTTCCTTATTCCTTGCTTTATGATGTTCCTCAACTGTTTTTTTTAACAAAGTAACATTTTAAAAAACAGTGACTTCAGGGGCTTTTGCCTATGATGTTCTCTGTATAATATGGCTCTCAAAATTCTGTTTATATGTAACTAAGTGCCAGCCTTAGTCAGTTGGTAGCAGTCTTACCTTTAAATAGAGGTAACAGGTCATTTTAACATCTCAACTGAAGGATAGCACCTCCGACAATGTAGTGTTCCTCCAGCACTATACTGGAGTGTCAACATAGACAATGTGAATCAAAGTACTGATTCACGTTAAACTTTAAAGTTGCTTTTTTTATGTAAAAGAAAAACTTTCGTCTTTGTCAAGGTGAAGGAGGGGCTTGGTGGTAGCAGATGGAACACATTCCTATATCAGGAAGCTGGTATCAGCATCAAGCACTCCAGGGTTGGTACAGTATAGTTGTGTACAGTGTAAGGATCCTTTTACTCCAGTCTAACAGCATTCTCATACCTCATCAACAATTATATTTTCCAGTCAAACCAACCTGTGGCCTCCCTCAAGGATTTTGCCACTTTAGTGCTGAATTAAGGGAAAGCTTTTTTTCCCCACCTCGAATCTACTAGGAATTGCATTGAGACTGCAGAAGTTCACTTTAAATAGAATTTTTACAAACCAGAACACATTGTAATCACATTAGTGGTCACAGAGATGAAGGGTCAATTAACTAACCCATTGTCCAGGGAGACCTAATTTTTGGAGTTGACTCATTCCATTTATGTATGGCACAAAAATATGAGTGCTGGTTTTCGGACCATTTGGAAATCTTGTCAAAAGAAGATTTACAAATTGAAAAGGGATTGCAATGTCTTCTCGCTCAGTCGATAAGTGCTCCTCATGTTGTGGCTTAACTATACAGACCAAGAAGATGCCAGATTTCATGCCCAGTCTGTGCTGAGTCAGCTAATCTCAATCAAGTTGAGTGGAGTAATTGCCGTTCATGATATTCACAGGATGAAATCAGCAATGGGAACCATGTACAAAGCAATGGGAATCGAATGCAGAGCGATGGGAACTGAGTACTGAGCATTTGAACGCTTAGTCAGGAAAGGTACCTTCCAAAGCTCTAAAAGAGCAACAACTCGAACATATATAGCAACTTTCACAAGGAATGAAACATCCCTGCGCTGAAACAATTCAAAGAGCTTCAAACAACTTTGGCATCAAGCATGTGCCCTTTTCTTTCTTGTTTAGTTTGAAAGAAAAAAACTTTGGTTTTTCACTGGTTTCCACGTGCTGCGAATTTGATGTTGCAGAAAGCACTAACACAGCCAAGCACCAAGCTTGATGCACAGCCTTTGGTTGTCAAAGCTTTTCACAGCAGCTGTGACAATGTGATGTACAGGATCCAATGGCTGCTTTCACTACATTTTTGCATAAATTGAATCCCACAGGCAGATCCATTCTAGAATCTGTAGAACAACACTTAAATTTATATTAGCCTGGCTCGGTTGGTAGTACTCTTGCCTCTGAGGTTGTGGGTTCTAGCCCCACCTAAGGACTTTGAACTCAGAGTCTTAAGATGACATTCCAATACTGTGCTGGGGCTGTGTATCATTGTTGGAGTTGCCATCCTTTCGATGAGATGTTAAACTGAGGCCTGTCTGCCTGTTCAGGTGGATTTAACGATCCATTGGCACTATTAAAAAAGAGAAAGGAGTTTCTACCTGTGTCCTGGCCAACTATCCCCCAGATTAAATTTGTTATCCCGCATTACGGCTATTTGTGGAACATTGCTGTGTGTAAGTTGGCTGCTGCATTCGCTACAAAATATATACTTTACAGTATAGCACCTAAGCACTTTGAGATGTTCTCCGATGTAAAAGGCACTACTTCAAATATATGGATTATTATATAGCTTTCACATAAGAGAATCAACTCAAAGCGCTTCTTAAAATGAAAATAATTAGAAATGAGTGAATATTATGCTCCAGCCATGTCCCACAAACAGCAATGAGATGGATAGCCAATAAGTTAGACATTTTTGGAGTGAATTTGGATGAGACAGGGATATCGCCATGATAACTGGGAGATATCTTTAGGAATACAGTAAAACAGGATGGGCCACTTCTTTTCCTGTGAATTACATGACTAAGTAATTACCTGTAATTACAATAACAACAACAACCACAAGATTCCATTTATAGAGCGCCTTTCACATCGGGAGAACGTCCCAAGGCTCTGGACAGTTGGGTCAGGACCCGAGCAGGGGGGAAATGGTCAGGGTGAGAGGAGGGAAGGGAGGGAGCGAGGAGGGGTAGAGAGTCGAGAGCGGAGCTGAAAGCACGGTCAAAGAGAAAGGTCTTGAGACCGGCCTTGAAGGAGGAAAGGGAGGAAGCAAGGCGAAGGCACTGGGGATGGAATTCCAGAGCCTAGGGGCTGAGAGACTGAAGGCCCGGCCACCGATGGTAGGGCGGTTGGGGCGGGGGATGAGCCAGAGGAACGGAGGGTACGGGCAGGTAGGTAGGGGGATAGTAGGTCGGAGAGGTAGGAGGGAGCAAGGCCATGAATGGCCTTGTAGGTGAGGATGAGGAAGCTGTACAAGGAATTACCTCTTTGTTTTTCTCAATGTTGTACCATTTCCAATAGTAATAATTGCATTTGACATTGTACCTTATAACTTTAAAACATCTCAAAGCATTTTATAGGGAATTGGCGTGAAGTATAGTAGATGGGTATTTGTAAGTGAATTGCAGACCTAACTTGCCCACAACAATATCCCACAAATAGAAAATAAGTGAGTGACCAGTTTTATCTGGAGGATTGTTTGGCAGGCACTGGAAGAAGTTTCCTTTTCCTTTTGAATAGTGCCATGTGATCATTAATATCCATCTAATCAGTCAGACATGATATTTAGTGACACATCCAAAATTCCAGATGTCTTACAAAGTTCATTCAAAGAATGCTGTTTAGGAGAAAGGATTTGATTTGTTTGTTCATTCTTGTATCTCTCGATTGACGCCTTTTTCTTACACAGATGTGAGGTGAGCTGAGACATGTGGGGATTGTGAAGGAATATTCAATGCAGTGCATATTAATCTTCTGCTTTGCTGCACTTCAGTAAAATTCTCACCCCCTTTCTTCCCAGGAGATTGTCAATTTCAACTGCCGCAAGCTGGTAGCCACCATGCCCCTCTTCGCCAATGCTGACCCAAATTTTGTGACTGGCATGCTGAGCATGCTACGATTTGAGGTATTCCAACCTGGAGACTACATTGTTCGTGAGGGCACGATAGGCAAGAAGATGTATTTTATCCAGCATGGGGTTGCTGCTGTCATCACTAAATCCAGCAAGGAAATGAAGCTATCGGATGGCTCATACTTTGGAGGTCAGTGTCAACATTTTCTTATTAAAACCAAAATGGTAAACGCGATAGCTTAAAGAAAACTGCAACACAAGGCCGTCATACACAATGAATTATATCTTTATAACTTTGTATGTTATTATTAACTTCAGGCTGGTCACAGCTGCTCTCCTATCTTTTATGAGACATTCATTAGTTTTTAACATTAAGGGTTTCTCTCCCTCTCTCTCTCACTGTGCCGCCTCCCCCAGCTGGGAGGTTGAGGGCAATGCTTTGTTCCCACATCTCCTTGAAGTGGATGTAATAAAGTTTGCTTGAGTTCTTGTGGCTTTTGCAGACTATCCACTGAATAGTCTATCCACTGGATAGCTGTTTTATACAGCGCCTTCAGGAGGATGCCTCCAAGCGCTTCACAGGGTTTAACTGTAAAGTGTAGTGACTAGGGGTTTCAAACCCGATACCAGGATCCTGTATGGTAAGGGTGCTCCCAAAATCCAGGGATTCATTGAAGAGAATATTGAGGGGTGGAAAGACCTGCCCTCCTCTTCTGCCCTGACTCGGCTTTTATACAATCCCCAAATCCCGGGCCACAAGTTGCCCAAAGACAGCATCTCCAACATTACAGTGCTCCCCTAACACTACATTAGGGTGTCAGCCTGGACTTATGAGTTCCAAGTCTCTATGTGGGGCATGAACCCATAACATTCAAACTCAGAGACGAGAGCACTACCAACTGAACCAGGCTGACACATGGAGTCTCAGGAAGTCAGCTTCAGTGAGCGACTGCAGGCTGTTTATGTTTATTGCACATCAAAATGCATCAGCACCAATGAGACGACAACAAGAAGATGTCTCTGTTGATGTCTGCATTCCTCAGCAAATCCCTTAGCACTGCATTGTTGGAGATGCTGTGCTTTGGATGAGACGTTAAACCCAGATCCCATCAGTTTTTCAGGTGAATGTTATGGCACTATTTGAAAAGAGAAGGGTGTGTCTCCTAGCCAACAATCCCCAAATAAAATTGGTCACCATGGTTGTTTGTGGGGCATTACTGTGTGTAAAATTGGCTGTTGCTTTCACCCACAAAAACACAGTCATGACCAGTGGTTGCAATAACGGTGCCCTTTTGGAATTTCGGGATTTTGTCACAAGGTTGGTGTCAGCATTCCTCAGCAATCCCATGAGTAACTCCATGCAGCTCTTCATCAAAAACAACAACAGCTTGCATTTATGTAACTCACTTCACGCGGGGTAGCGTCCCAGAGCCCTTAAACTGGCAATTCAACACACAGCATTGCTGATGATGTAGTGTTGCATATGCAATATGATGTGGGTGCTGAATCGTCCGAGTTTGCAGACCTTTGGATGAGACATTAAATCAAGATTCCATTTGCCTGTTCAAGTGGACGTTAATGAACCCATGGCACTTTTGAAAAAGAGAAGGGAGTGTCTCTCAGTGTACTTCCCAACGTTCCACAAATAAAAATTGACCATTCACTTCATAACCGTTTGTGTGACATTGCTGTGCACAAAATAGAATTGATTATCCTTGCTCATTTTGCTCTTCTATTCTAAGCACATTTCACCAAGCAGTAGAATTTCAGTCCCAAATATTTGTTCCCTGTTCAGTCTTCTCATCTCCAGTGAATCCAAATTGCAGATCAATGAGCCTTTCCTCATAACTAACCTCCTAATTCTTGCTCTAACCAATAAGTTCATGACAAAGTAGATCTCCTGACAGACAATTACAACTTACTATAGTCACATAATAGCCAACATCGGGTTTGACTGGCAACCTAGACAAGTCAGACAACAGCAGCAATTTACATTTGTATAGAACCGTCTGACAGAGTTCTACAGAATGAGATTAATTTGAAATTAAGCGAATGTTGTTTCATTGGCAAATGTGTCAGATAATTTGCACCTAGCAATGACATACAATGATGTGAGTAATAACTACTAATAATAACATTCTGTTACAGTCAGGATCTCGGTTTAATATCTTACCCACAGGACAGCACCGTCCAGCAATGCAGTGCACCCCCCAGGATGGCATTGGAATGTCAGCTGAGATTATATAAATTCATAGTCACAATGTGGGTCTTTAATAGATCTCAAGTGCTAAGCAAAAATCTTGTTCTTACTATTTTACCACCGTAGTTTAAAGTAGAAAACTATTCAGAGTTCCAGTAGAGAGGTTGTTGGTAAAAATAACTAAAATGTAGATTGCAATCTAAGTAACATTAGATATTTTAAGGTAGACATACCATTGAAAAGCAAACCACGCTCTGGGTTTCAGCAAATGTTTTGGAAACCTTGCCAGGTCCTATATTGACAACTGGAAAACTGGTTAGATCCCTCTCCCACTCATTAATTAGTGAGCCGTACTTGAAGGAACCTTTTTGTGCATGATAAGGGAAACCAGGATTGAGGTTCCAGTTTAAGGCTTGACCAGCCTTCCAACACTCACTGTCAAGGCAATCACATAGAAGAATGGTCACATAAACTGGGTGCCAGAGAACTGCTAGTGGTCGCAGAGCTGTACTCCAGCACATTCAGGAGAGGAGAGTGGGAGGAAAGGTTAGCAAATTGTCAAGAGAAATCCTTCTGTTGCCTGGGGAAAAGACACTCAGCAACGTTAGCAATATTCTTCCAGACAGCTGGAATTTCAGAAAATGCTATTGTGCAGTTTTACAATCTACGCCCCAGGTGTGGGTTGAAGGTTAAAGCCACAGCGCACCTTCCAAGAGTGATGGAGGCTACACGGAGCAGTAGACTGAGAGGGAGTGCTCACTTCTCAAATGCTCCATTTTCAATATTAACTCTTCGAATTCTGGCAACCTGGTACATACATATGGTGAAAAACCACAGTTAATCATCCTGTGAATGAAATGCAGTAATGTTAATTTATAAGTTTCTCACTAACATTAGTCTCTTGGATCCCCACTATTTCTGGTAAGTTTTTTGTATCTTCCAACGTGAAGACAGAAGCAAAGTATTTGTTTAGTGATTCCCCAATATAATTTCTCCTGTCTCTGCCTGTAAGGGACCTACATTTGCTTTTGTTAATCTCTTTCTCTTTATATACTTGTAAAAGTTCTTACAATCTGTCTTTATAATGGTTGCCCTAGTAACTCGTAATATGAATGTAATAATAATATTTTATGCATTCACACTCAGTCAATGAAAGCAATGACCTGCCTTTGTGCTGATATATTCAGACGGATATTCTCAAGGTTCAGTCCTTGGTCCTTCCTGAGTAATAGTTGATCTCAGTTAGGGAAGCCACAACAATAACTTGCACTTCAAAGCACTCAACAAATGTAATAGAGCATAGCAGAGATACAGAGATTGCCCTGGGTAAACTTAGCCACGGTTCCTGCTCCTGATCACAATGACACCAGCTGGAAATATCAATACCGGTGAAAGTGAGCTCAGCAGGGTTGGTTCTTGTGCTTGCTCCCTCGATCAAATAACCAGCCAATATTCGCTGGACTCCCACGTTATAAATGGTCACTTGGGCAAGATCCTGGAGGATTAGTCAAAGATAGTTATGTGTCAAGTATTAAGAGGTATGTGATAAAGGTGGAGAAATTAGATTAAAAGATTTGCCGCAATCTAATAAATTGGCAGAATAGGCTTAATGAGCTGAATAACAACAAGAACAAAACTTGCGTTTTTAGTGCCCCTCAAGCAGGATAGCATCCCAGAGCCCAGAGAATAATGTTTTCCTTTTCCTATGCTCTGAACTGTTCACTAGCAACAATCAGTGGCACAAGGAGAGAAAGAGAGAAAATTGGAAGGAAAAATAAAGCAAAACGTGTGAATCTTTATTTAAAACTAATTTTGTGAGAACATTCATTGCTTTGGGACCAATTCTTTACTTTACTTTTAAAAATGCCACTGAGGTGTGAAATTGTATCAATAATGTTCCCAATAATGAGAACGTTTTCTAACCTTCTGAATACTTTCCTGACGCTGGCTTCTTCGGATGTAAATATCGGATTTGTGCAGCCAGTTGGAGATGAGTGACGGGGATTCTCATAGTCTCTATTAATCATCCAATGTGCGTAGGTTCTGAGTACATTGAGTACCACTAAATCATCCAGCTCAGGTCAGCCTTCACCACAGCAGTGCAGTGCTGCACACACACACACAGCGGGGGTAGAGTCCCTGCTACTATCTGCTCTCCACATTAATACAACCAACCACTGCTAAATCCAGCTTCTAAACAGCAAGATCTTGGCTAAAATTACAAGACATTTGCTGCCTAAAATCAATCAGGAAAAGATTCATCCCTAAAAATAACTACTCAGGGAAATAGAGTACTGCGGATGGTTCAATATAATGTTCAAAAGGTATGTTATGATCACTTACCCCCCAGATTTCTCCACGATGACTAATCTTCATGTGTTAGTTTAACCAATGAATGTCAGTGGGCTATTTAATCAGAGACGGTTATCACAGCCAATGTAGATGCTGCCCTTATCCAATGGCAATACACATCCACAGTTACACACAGTGCATCTTACACATACACACAATGCACATGCACACCCTACATGTACACAACTGACTCATCACCCCACGAATGCACACACCATCCATAGACACACCATCCATACACACATGTCCAAATGACAAGTTGTTATTGTCCAATGAACAGTCACTTCTTGTGACAGTAATTACCTGTGAAGCTCTGCGAGACGTTTCGATGTTATAATAATCCTTGCATTTGGTATAGCGAGAGTGCTACCAACTAAGCCAGGCTGGCAGTGTAGTACAATGTAAATTTACACTTGTATAGCGCCTTTCACATTGGAAGGACATCCCAAGGCCAGGGTTTGCATCCAAACTGAAGGTGGGGGCCAAAGCAGGTGAGGGGCAAGAGGGTGAGAAGGGAAAGATGGACAAAAGTGGGGTCAAAGAAAAAAGTCTTCAGACGGACCTTGAAAGAGAATAGGGAAAGGGTGAGGCAAAGAGACTCTGGGATGGAGTTACAGAGAGTCGGGGTAGCTGCACTGAATGCCCGACTGCCAATGGTGAGGCAGAAGATGTGAAGCAGGCCAAAGCCTGCTGAGCAGAGGAAGCAGGTGGATTTGGTAGGGTATGAGGAGGTCACAGAGATTGGTTGGGATAAGACCGTGGAAGAATTAAAGATTAGGCATACTTCCAGTTACAGCTGCTAATAGATGTTATATGTATAACTTTTTCTCTCTCTGCAGAAATCTGCTTATTAACAAAGGGCCGACGTACTGCCAGCGTGAAAGCCGATACCTACTGTAGGCTGTACTCACTCTCCGTGGACAATTTCAATGAAGTGCTGGAGCAATACCCAATGATGCGAAGAGCATTTGAAACCGTGGCAATCGACAGACTGAACAGAATTGGTAAGTTTAAATTTAAGGTGATTTTATCAACACTCTTTTGCCAACGAAATGTCTAGTGAAACTACTGAATTCTGCAGTGCACAAACCTCATTCACTTGGAATCTTGGGGCTGAATTTTGTCTTGCTGCAGAGGAAAGTGACTTTGTTGATGCGTGCTCACATTAGGAGTCTCATTTTCCAAGCACACAACAGCAAATTCGCTGCATTTGGAGGCAAGAGGAATTTCGTACCTTTAAAGTAAAGCTCCTGTATTGTCATAAATATATTTGCTTGCACGCAAAAACAATTTTAGACGCCAAACTTTAGAAACTAATGCCCTTATTGAGAAACCTGCGTAGAAAGGCCAGTAAAGATAACAGCAGATAACAGGCCATTTAACCCCCACCCCCCCATCACCTCCAAACAACACTTATAACTTAAAATGCTTGCAAGCAAAATGGTTCTGAAAATATAGTGGCTTAAAAGTCCAACTCAATGTTTCATGGCAAAAGATTTATCCTGTGGGATAAGACATTTTTTAAGACATTTTCCATTGTTCAACTCTTTTTAAAAGAAACACAAAACTCCAACTTTATATTTTATTTTTCATTATTTGTTTTCACATCATGACCCCCCGCCCCCCAACAGCCCCTAATCTCTGCCTATCTGAGCACATAGGTGTTTGAGAATGAATTCAAGAGTGACGCATTTGGTTTGCAATCTCTATTTGCGCCTTGCTGCTCTGTAGCTTTCCTGTTGCATGAAAGGGCAGTAATTGGCAGTGTGTGTGTGTGTTGGGGGTGGGGGGTAATTGGAGAACAGGAAAGGACTATGGCATGTGTCAGAACTTGAAGTGTAGAGTACAGTGTCACTTAGGCAGGGGTGTGGGGGGTGTAGGAAGGTGGGGGAAGTTATATTGCCCATGGGTTAATCGATCATTTCTAAATCATAAAGTAACATCTAAGGTTTCATCTAAGGTTCTGAAGTAAAATCCCACCCATGGCCAGAGAACTCTGGTGTCACAATATCATTGTTAAATTAAGTGAGCCTTTGAACTTCTCCATAATTGTGCCTTTGATTTGTATTTTTTCTCAGGTATTTTTGCTGTCTCTGGTCTAATAATTTTTCTCCTTGCCTTACCAGTTAATATTTACCCTGCTTTGGGGTCAAATATAATAATCTTAAGTGCAAAGATTATTATCATTATTAATGATACACAGCAGTTTCCAATGGGGGGAGAGATTCCTTATTAGGGAATCTGAGTGAAGATTGTTTAAGATAACAGGAAGTGCAGCCCGCTGACCCACAGGATACAGAATGCTTTGTAGCAGAAGTCTTGGCATTGTTGTGATGCGTGTTTATCTTCATTATGAAATCATTATGAAATTTGGACCCTACAGTAGTTTTTTTTATTATTTCAATAATTTGCCTTATATATTTACTATAGTGATATAGCAGAGACCTGGCGAACTGGATAATCACTCATTTGAGCAACACTTCACATGAGATGTGGACATGAAGTGCTGCTCAAATGTGCACAAAATACTTTAGTTCCTCGCCTTCAAGACCCTCCATGGTCTTGCTCATTCCTACCTCTGTGACCTGCTGATCCCATATCAACCTGTCTGCTCCCTCCGCTCAGCAGGCTCTGACCTGCTCCACGTCCCACCCCGGCCCGCCCCACCATTGGTGGTCGGGCCTTCAGCCTCTCTTCCCCCACCCTTTGGAAGTTCATCCCACATTCCCTTTGCCTCACTCCCTCCCTTGCCTCCTTCAAGGCACATCTCAAGACCCTCCTCTTCGACCGCATCTTCGGCCACCCTCCCAGTCCTCCACTCTCCCTGATCCTAAACCCCTCCTGCTCGGGTCTAAATCCCTGACTGTTCAACACCTTGAGACGTTCTCCCAACGTGAAAGGTGCTATACAAATGTAATTTGTATTGTATGCATGCAATGTGACCAAGCATGCTAAATTGTCACTCGTAATCCGAGAGGCCTAATGCGCTCATGTTGTAGGGAGTGCTCTTATGAGGTGAGTTACAGCACATTATGGAAGGAGAGTGGAGAGAATCTTAATGTGGAGTGCAGCAATATAGCTGACCTGACTCTACCAGCAAGTGCCACAATTGAAAAAAGGTTCTATTTCCCAACCCTGACATTCAGGACTTTGATAAACATAACAATTCACCAGATATTCTCAAATCATATAACAGAAGAAAAGACTTCAAACCATCAGTAGGGGCTCTAGAGACACTATGTTATTCAAAGGCCTCTGCTTGTGCAGGAGTGAGAAACAAATATTTCTTTCGACCACAAGAGAGGTAAGAATAAAGAACACCATTTGATCTCATCTTTTGCCACTTCCATTACAACATCAAACTATTTCTTGAATGAGTGTGTAGTCCTGCGAACCAATTCCCACTGTTGATTTTAATCTGTGTAAATAAATGTTTTTAACATAATAAAAATAAATAATAATCCTTGTATTTGATGTAGAAGACATGTCAAAACGCTGTAGAGTGAATTGACTGTATTTTGTGGGCAGAACATTACCCTTCTTGGCGCAGATTGTGTCCTGTTCTGCTACGTAAAATAATTATTTCAATGACATTTATTTGGTGAAGGTGAAAGTAATTGAAAAGTCCCTGAAAAGCTATTCAGAAACTATTTTTGAAACTGTCGTGTAACCGCAGTATTAAATAACCAAGGTGCTTTTAGTCTTATACTCCCTGACCAATAAACTCACTCATTAAAAAGATGTGCATGACCCTTACAAGATTTCAGGAGCTTCAGAAGCTTCTGTCCAATTCTTCTTGGGCCATACCAGTTTTTGCCATTTATAAACACTTTTTGATTAAAACAAAGGTTGCGGATGCTCACAACATTAGTTCAGATCGGTGACTGAAATTTAATTTGAACTAAAAAAGACTTGCAAAAGATGATAGGGTATGCTGCTGTGTGATGGTTCAGATAGAGATATAACCCTACTCTCTGCCCTCCCCCCCTCCTCCTCACACCTCTTAATAAACTTCTAAGAATTAGAAAGTTGTGTATATTTACCAAGACGTTTGATATGTCAACTCCCTGCAAGGTTAAAGTACCAGAAAATAGAAACATTACAATCTTTTCTAAGATTGTATCCACCTTTGTGAGTGGAGCTTTGCATGCACAGAAGGCAATACCATTCCCTCTTCCCATCTCTATTCATCTCTATTCACTCCCTCCCTCCCACAACTCATTCAAGGTCCATTTCAAGACGTACCTTTTTGGCCATGCTTTCAGTCATTTTTCCCCTTTCTACCCCCTTCAGCTTCCATCCCCAGCTCTGTGCCCAGCCAACAGTGTTGAGCACTCTGGGACATCCTCCTGTCGTGAAAAACACTAAATAAATGTATTGGTTTCAACTATATTTTTCGTCAATGTGATGATATTATTGCTGACTATGTTACATGCCACAATTTTGTTCCCATGTCCTGAATTTGACCAAAATTCAACAAATAAACTAAAACTGGTTCATATGCTGGGGGTCGGGGGGGAGATGAGGAAGTTTGGGGGAGGGGATGGTAGCCAAATGTGCAGTAGAAAAGAAAGGTATTAAAGGTGGGAAGGGAGAAGTGGGGCAGAGGAGCTTCAGGCTGGATAGCAAGCAGAATGGCTGAAAGCTCATCCGCTGATGATCGGATGGATCAGATGGGGAACGTGATATAAACATTGGAGAAAGGCTGATGAATGCTTTAGGTGAAGATTACAAAAAAATGCAAAGCCTTGAAGCTGGAGTAGGAGTAGATCCTTTACTCAGTGATGACTATCTGCAGTATTTGCAATGTTCATTATTTTCTTCATAGCTCTGCAGAGCTGCTTCTTTCCAGTGACCTTTATATTCTGGAGTTCCTCTCTGAATACCTTACAATTCTGTGTCCATAATTTGTTCCTGGAGAGTGTTATCTAGAATGCAGATGGTGCTGCCATCTGCGTCTTCCTGTAACGTAAAAAGTGTTGCCTCTCATTTCAGTTTGGGCTTTGGCGTACAAGCTCTGGATACTCACCAGCATTTACACAGCAGTGCAGTTAGCAAAGTGCTAAGAGCAGCATCATCTGTTGTCATGTTAGTCCATGATGAATCACAGGGGAGAATCCTTACTGCACTTTTTGTGTATTGTCTTTGAATACATTAAATGGAGCACAGCTTAGATGAATTACAACAACAAAATTATATTTGTATAGCGCCTTTCACGTCGGGAGGACGTCCCAAGGCGCTGGTCAAAGTTTCGGACCCAAGCTGAGGGTTGGGATCGGGGAGGGGGGAGGATAGGGGGGGGAAGCAGGGTGATTGAAAGCACAGTCGAAGGGGAGGGTCTTGAGATGGGTCTTGAAGTAGGCGGGAGCGGTAAGCGAGGCGGAGGGACTGCAGGATGGAGTTCAGAGGGTGGGGGCAGAGTGGCAGAAGGCCCACCCGCCAATGGTGGGGCGAGTGAGACTGGATACATGAAGCAGGCCTGAGCCCACTGAACGGAGGGAGCAAGCAAAATGGTAAAGGGTTAGGATGCCGTAGAGATAGGGGGGAGCAAGATCATGGAATTACATAGATTTTATATGAAATTTACAACAACAAATTGCATTTATATAGCGGTTTTCACATCAGGAGGACGTCCCAAGGTGCTGAGAACTGGCCATTCGGCCAACTAATCCATACCAGTGTTTCTACTAGACATGAGTCTCCGCCCATCCCAATTCCCCTCCCTAGCCTCCCCCACACCCCTATGTTCCCTTCCCTCTCACGTATACATAACTAAGAAATCAAGTTATTTCTTAGTTAATAAGAACTCTACGAAATACTTTCAATTCCAGGTGAATTGCTTTGTTTCTGGGCTTCAAATCACCAACAAAGCATTGATTATTATTATTAAAATGCATCAATGAAAAATGTTTTGTTCTCACTCATAAGGTGCCAGTGTGCCCTCTCCTCCATCTGTACACACTGTATAGAAATGTGTCATATACTTGCACTATGATTGTGATTT